CAGGGCAAGAGCAGGGAGGCCGCGCAGCTCAAGCGAGACCTGTCGGCGTGGCGGCGCGAGGCGCCGGCCGACGCGACCGCAGCCTTCCTCCACGCGTCGGTGCGGCCGAACCCGCCCTTCAGCGCGGTGCCCGAAGGCTTCCGGCTGCTGCACGCCGTCACCGGGCATCAGGGCTACGTGCTCAAGCACATCGCGCAGGAGAGCCGCGCGAACAAGGTGACGGCGGAGCTGGGCGCCACCGACGGCGGCGACGCGGGTGGCAGGCGCGCCTCTCCGTCCACCGTGCTCGAGCAGGCCGCCGCGCTCGAGCTACACATCGTCGCCTCGTCGGAGGAGGCGCTGCGGCGCGCCCAGCAGCTCTGCGAGGCGCACCTGAAGAAGGTGCACGAGCAGATGGCGAGCTGGGCGCGCGGGCACGCGAGCTCGCGCCGCTCGTCGCGCGGATCGGCGGCGGGAAGCTCGCGGCGCGAGTCCCCAGCCAGCGGCGGCCCGTCGCGCCCGTCCCCCGCCAGCGGTGGCCCCTCCGCCCTCACGCTGGCGGACTTTATCAGCGTCAAGACGCCGACGCGGCCGCCGCGGGCGGAGCGGCCGCCGTGAGGCTTGCGTGAGGCCTTCTGAGCGGATGCGCGCGGAGGGGAGAAGTGACAAGTGTCGTTGCATGACGGTATCGAGCCTCGGGTCTTGTGTTTTGCCTTGCCATTTACGTGTGTCGACTTGTACGCCGAGTACGGTGGCGCACGCCGTGCAACAACCGGATGGCACACTTTCGGGTTTCGGCAAAGAGCGCGCCGAAGGAGGTTTCGTACTCTCTAGCGCGCTGATTGCCCGACAGGTCATGCAAAACGGGCCCTGAGTGTCACCGAAACACGTACACCGGCACATTGTCCTTTGTCGGCCGATGCGCGGCTCGCCGCCCACCCCACGGCCACGCGGTCCCTAGAGCTCTAGGTGTTATACAGCATAAACACCGTCCGTGCAGGGCTCCTAGGCCATCACTGGGTCCACAGTGGACGGACACACAGCCTCAGCTGGCCCGGCGGGCTCGGCCTGACCCTCGCGAGGATGGCGCGCGCCCACGGCGACGCCTTCTAGAGCGTAGAGAGGTCCCTCACACCCTGCTAGCCAGAGTCTGTACCCCTATAGCCCTAATACGTGTACGTGTAGTACTTTTGCACGCTAGCTCCTCCGTCTCGCTGCCCGGCTCGCCTTACCACCACTGCCCGGGCCGCCTCGCTCCGCCAGCGCGCGCGCTCGCTCCGCCACCGATCTCTGCGCGCCTGGGAAGGAGTTGATGTGGTCGTAAAAGGAGGCAGACCGCTCCGCGTCGGGCTCGTGGAAGACGAGCTTGACGATGGTGCGCTCGCCGCGCTTCACCGGCGTGACGCGGTGCGAGGGGCCTCCCTCGCCGGCACGTACGAGCAGCACCGAGTTCGGCGTCGTCCACGCCGAGTCGCGGCCGCCGTCAGCGCAGACCCACTCGGTGAAGCAGTCAGCCGTGTTCTCGAGCGTCAGGATCACCTCTGTCTGCGGCGGGCTGTAGAGCGCGTCGTCGCGGTGCCAACCCATGCTGGCGCCGGCACCATACTGCCGCAACTCTGCCGGAAAGTCGGACGGCTCGAGCCGCGGCACGCCGGTGAGCGCGGCGATCCGGCTCGCAACCGCTTCGCTCATCAGCATCGCGTGTGTGTGGGATCGGCGGTCGAGACACAGGCCCATCCGCCGCAGCGCAATCGAGTCCTTCTCTGCGCGCATGCCGCCTCGCAGGGTCCGGCACTCACGCCGGATAGCCTCAAAGTCGGCCGGCGAGAGGAAGCGCTCGCGGTATAGCACACCGCCGTTTGAGACAAACGCGGTAGGCGCCGAGTGAGCGACCAGCGCGAGCACGGCGAGGAGCATTGTGCTTCAAGCTGTTCCGCGCCACTCTCCTCCGCTTCGAGGTCTTCGAGCTCCGTCCGGCTTGACGAGGCCCTTGCAGCCTGCCTCTTTGCGGGAAGCCGCTCGAGCACGGAAAGAAACGCGCGCGCCGGCTGCTACTGCTATTAGGCCCGTGATAGCTGAGAAGGAGACTCACATCGGCAAACCGCGACGCACAAGTGGCTGCTAGCTCTCTTCACTGCGCTCTGCGGCCCCCCAGGGCAATCCTCGTTCGCCCGCAGACGGACACCCCAGTCCACACCAGTCTGCCTTCGAACCGACCCGGCTGCCTTGCCCGCCAGACTCGGATCGCATAGTGCACAAGAAGGCCCTCGCTTCTGGTTGACATCGAGACCACGGCGCGCTCGAGAAAGCGCCCGGCCCACACCTTCGCTCCCCAGCCAACTCGAACGCCCGCGCCTCTCAGCACGGCGCGCCGCCGCCCGGCCTCTAGCACGGGCCGCCCTGAGCTTGACCGTCTCTCTACAGCTCTCCCTAGTCGAGGTCCGCCGCGATCGCCAGCGACACTTTTGGCTTCTCGGGTGAAGCGACATTTTGGGCGCCAATCGAGGCGGAAGACATGGCCTTCTCGATGAGAGCGCCCGCCGTCGGCGGAGGCGCGGCTTCCACCTTGGCCGGCGAGGAGGGCTGGGTCGGCGCCGCCGACGCCGGGTGTGGCTTGTCGAGCGCTTCGATGACCGGCGAGAGCGCGCCCGAAGCGAAAGTTGCCATCTGGGGCGACGCTGTGGCGGCAGTGGCGGCGAGGACGGTGACGACAGCCTTCCAACCGCCCGCAGCGTGGACCTGGCTGTAGTCGCCACCGACGAGTCCCGCGAGTGCAAGCGAGATGGCCAAGCGCATCTCCTCCTGCTCGGTCGTGACGAGCGCCTCGATCATCGTGTCGATGTTGCTCGAGGTGCACGCCGCCTCGCGAGCCGCCTCGTCCGTCAGAAGCGGTGCGAGGCTACGGGCAGCGACCAGCGCGTGCGGGCCGCTGAGCAGCGGCATGAGCGCAGCGGGTGCTCCGGCGGCAGCGAGCGCGCTTGCGAGCTCCGGGTCAGCGGAGACCTCGACGAGGAGCTTGAGCGCGTTGTCGAACTGCTCCGAGATGGAGTCCCTCGTGCTGGCTCGCTCTGACTTGCTGCTCATCTCGCGCAAGAGAGCAACGTGCGCAGAGGCCGCGCCCGCGGCCAAGTCGGACTGCTCGTGCGCGAGCGCCCACAGCGAGGTACACACAAAGTTGAGCGCGCGGCTGTCGGCGGCCAGGCTGTCGCGCCCATCCGACTCGCTCAGGGCAGCCGCCGCGCCGCGGGCGACGGCGTAGTATGCTTCGAGCATGTCAGCGCGCTGGGTCGCCACGTGCTGCAGCGCCTGCAGCGAGCCGATGATCGGCGGCCAGCCGGCGGCCTTGTAAGCCGCGCGCCAGTCGCCACCGACGAGCGCCGCAAGCGCGCACACAATGGTGAGCCGAGCGTCGGGGTCGGTGCTCGCGCCGAGGGCGCCGCTGAGCGCAACGGCGCCGCCCGCGTCTCGCGCCGCCGCCCGAGACTGCTCGTCAATCAGCAGGGCGGGCATGGCGGAAGCGATGGTGCGCGCCATCGTCGGGTCGGGGGTATGGACGAGGAGGCGCATGAGCGCCACACCGGCGCCCGCGGAGGCGAGGCCGACGACCAGGTGCGGGAGCTGGCACAGCGAGGCAACCGCGGCCGCCGCGATGGCGCGGATGTCAGCATCGGCGTGGGCGAGCAAGCCGACGACAGCAGCGGGGGCGCCGGCAGCGAGCATTTCGCCGGCGCAGTGCGGCGGTACGGCGGAGGCGTCGCGCGTCACGTTGAGCAGCGCTGTGAGCGCCATGCGCAGGAGGTTGGGCTCCGTCTCGTAGAGAAGGCTGGCGAGGTGCGGCGCGACGCCGGCCGATAGCAGCGCCGCTGGCTCGACGTACGAGACGTTGGCGACGGCGGAGAGAGCGATTGCACGCGTGCGCGGGTCGGGCGCGCGTGCGGACGAGAGCGAGGCGCAGAGCGGCCGCAGCGCTCCCCACCCCGACAGCTGCGAGCGGAAGTTCTCATCGGCTGCGAGGTGGGCGAGGGCCTGGAGGCCGTGCCCCACGGCGGCCGCGTCGCTCGACCCGTCGGCCGCCTCGACGAGGAGGCGCGGCGCACCGACTGTCGCGAGAGCTTGCCTCCCGCCCGGCTCGTGCGATGCGCGCGAGAGCAGCGACAGTAGTCCCAACCGCATCTCGGGCGAGAGCCCGCCTTGCATCAGCGGTGCGACGAGCTTGTGGAGCGTCTGCGGACTCGAGAGCAAGTCGGCCGTGATAACTCCGAGCGCGCACAGGTTGGAGAGTATGGTCACGACGAGCTCGCGAATGTGCGGGTGGCTCACAAGCTCAACCAGCTGCGTCAGCGCCCCAGGCTGCTGAGCGATCGAGACGGCGTGGACAGCATTTTTTGAGAGCTGCGCGAGCGTGTGGAGCGTCTGGTCTGTCGCGCCGCGCGAAAGCGACTCAATCATCATCCCAATGCCACCCGAGGCGACGACCTCGCCCGCGTTCTCGGGGGCGAGCGACGAGAGCAACATCATGGCGCCCGCACGCGCATTCTCGTTCTCCGACCCCATGAGCGCGACGATGGAGGGCATCGCCGAGGTGTTTCGCACCGCTTGCTGGACGGCCGCCGGGTCGGCCGAGTTGACGGCGCAGAGGCAGTCGACAGCGAGACCCACCTAACGGGACAGCACGCACCAGTGGCGATGGGCCTCTCTCCCTGACCCTTTCGCCCCACCGCCGAGCGCGCGCCTGCTCGACTCCCATCTCCGCCTCCGAGGCCGAGCCTCCGCCCCAGCCCTTGGCGAGCCTGCGGAGGGGGGGCGGCGGAGTCGGCAGATAGAGAGGCTCTATCTTCCGGTGCCTGAACCGGGACGTGGCCGTCTTTTGGCGTATCCACTGCATGTGGCGTCTGAGGGAGACAATCTCTCCAGCATCTACAGGGTGCGAGCCCGGAGGCGTGGATGAGTGTGGTGCAGAGCGGCTCGGCAACGCCACTCGCGAGCATGGCGCGAGCGCCGTCGGGCTGCTCCATGATCGTTGCGACCAGCTGGAGCGCCACCGTGCGCGACTCCGTGAGCTCCGACGCCGAAGAGAGCAAGCCGAGCAGAGCCGGCGCCGCGCCGACGTCGACGAGTTGGTTGGTGCACGCTTCGTTGCTTCGGCAGAGGATCTGGAGGAGGCCGAGCGCGCCGCGCTGGACGCGTGGGTCGGTCGACGACAGCAGCGGCGTGATGAAGAGGGCCGCGCCCGACTCGAGCAGTGCCTTGTGGTGGCTCTCGACAGCGCACGCGATGGCCTCGCAGAGGGTGCGCTGCAATGCCGGCTTTGACGCCTCGCCCAGCTCGTCGAGGAGGACGAGGGGGATCTCGGCGGAGGTGGCGCGGCTGCACATCTTGCGGAGCTCGGCGGCCCCTTTCTCGCGTAGGTCGAACGGGGTCGACTCGGAGCGCAGCGCCGCGAGGATCCCGTCGATCTCCTCGAGCTTGCCCGAGGTGGAGTTCTGGCGCGCGCGGCTTGGGATGTTTGACGTGCTCCGCTGGTACGCGACGGGGCCTAGGGCGCCCGGTGGCGGCGCGGCGAGAGCCTTGCCGACCTCCTTCTTCAGCTTATGCAGCGCGCCCTTGTTCTTCTTGCCGAGCGCAGTCGTCTTGGCCTCGGCTGCCTCACGCGCCGCCATCCTGGCTTCAAACGCCGCGGCGGAGGCCTTCTCCTTCTCCTTTGCCTTTGCCTCGGCAGCCTCCGCGGCATCGGCCGCCTCGGCAATCTTCATCGCCGCCGCCATTTCGGGGTCCATCTCACCCCCTTGCGGAAACGACGAGGACTCTGGCAGTCCAGCTGCCGTCGGCTGCGTGGTGGCAGCTGGGTACTCCCGGAAGCCGGCGGACTTGAGGTGGTCTCGAGGCGACATGGGCCCGGTGGGCTGGGGGCGGACCCAGGAGGTTGTTTTGGTTGCATAGTCGACGTAGTACCGACGCCCCGTGGACGGGTCGAACCTCTCCTCCCAGCCGGGCGGCAAAGGCCCTTCAGACACCTTGCGGCTGAGAGGCGGCGGCGTCGGATTGGCGGCAGCCTCCTCCGCCGCCTGACGCAGGCCAGCGAGGACCTCCTCCCGCGGGACACCCGCCTCGATCAGCCCACGTGCGTCAGGGTTCTGTTGCAGCAGCTCCTCGTCCGTCGGCATTCGTGAGAGCTAGGGGAGACGATCGGTGCGGCCGTCCTTTCGCCGTGTCGGAGGTGTGTGAGCTTTGGGAGAGAGAGAGATTTTTAGCAATACCAGCTTTGGTGTGGAACGCAAGGAGGGAAGAATAAGGGAAGGCGCTTTTGCTGGTTCAGAATTCTTTTAGTGTGTGTTGGTGCCTGCGAGCGGGTTCTTTACCAGGTTGCAACCCTAGTTTCGCACTGTGCTGTCAATCAACAGAGTCTGTGTCTTGATTTGCCAACAATATACCTACAACAGAGCACCAATCAACAGCTCTCAGGACCCCCCACCCACCCACGCCCCCAGTGCTGGGATGATGCCAGCAACCAACCAACCAACGCCGGACTGAGGAGGGAGTGAAGCTCCGCGCGGCAGGAAGTACCACGCCTGCGCGGCCCGCCGGGACCGCGTACGTACGAGTACCGGAATGGGAAAGCCCCACCCATAGCCAACGCCGCCGCAGCATCGAGCGACGAGCCGCGCGTCCTCCCCTGTAAGCTCTATTGCACCATAGGTCGTCGGCTTTGCCGTGGACGGGACACAGGCAGGGAGGGACGGACGGGCGAACCATGTACCCGAACAAGCATGATCCCGAGAACGGACGGGGCATTCCATCCACCTACATAGTGCGGGACCTGGGGCAGCAACCAACAACCTGGATGGGGCCTAGGGGATGGGGACGGGGTGCTGCGCAACCGACGCCAACCAGCAGCGTTCACAGCCTTGTTATTGAGAAGAAAGTACCTCCTATGGCGCTGTGCGCTGGTCTATGAGAGGTTGAGGTGCGAGCCCTGGAGGCCCTGCCTGGGGATGGGGTGAGACTACCCGCGGGCCTAGAAGGCCCGCGCGCAGGGAGGTGGGACATTCATTGAGGACCGGTCATGAATGAGTGCGCGATACGCATGTTGCGAGCGGCGTTGTTGATGTTTTGCGCGTCGCCACAGACGGCGCGCAGCACGAAACTTGCCTGAATGCTTCTTGTCGGGCTCCTGGGCTGGCGTGGCCATGCTGCTCGTCTCCACAGCGAGACCCGCGCTGGGCGCATCGTCGCCACTGCTGGCGAGCCTCGCGCCGGTCTCACAGAGAGCACTGACGACCGCCTCGGCAAAATCAGCGCAGCAGCTGCTGCCGACCAGCGCACAGACGTGCTGCTCATTCCTCTCTTCCAGCCGCTACCTGGGGAGCCGCTACGCCTGGACTCCGCCCTCGACGCGATCGACACTGGGCTCGGCGGAGCGTTGACTCGCCTTCTCGCCACAAGCGGCTTTTCTGGCGTTCTCGGCGACAGCGTCGCCGCAACGCTGCCTGACGGCGCTCCGTTTGCCTCGGTCGCCGCGCTCGGGCTCGGCCCGGCGGCCTCGTTCTCCAGTCCGCGCGATCTCCATGCGCGCTGGGGTGCGCTGATCGCGACCTATGCCCGAGGCGGCCGGACAAGGCACGCAGCGGCGGTCCTGCCTCGGGCAGATGGCAGGGTCGGTGTGCCGTCCGCGCCGCTGCCCCCGTCCGATTCGCCTGCGCCAGCTCTGCTCGCCGAGGTGCCGAGGCCGCCAGCGCTCGAAGAGGAGGCTGCGAGCCTCGGCCCCCTCGACCTGCTCGTCGGGGTGTCCAAGGTGTTTACGCCGTCGGGCGCCGCGGCGCCGTGGCCCTTTTTTGGGACGGGGAGAGGCACGTCCGAGGCGGAGGCGGAGGCGGCCAAGGAGCGGGGCGACCGCGAGGTCTCGGCGACCATCGCCGCGCTCCTGCGAGGCGACGCGGAGGCCGCCGGCGCCGCGCTCGCTGAGGCACGGGCGGCCTTTGGCGAGGCGGGCGGCGAGGCGGTGCGCGCGCGCAGTGCGGTGCTCGAATCGCTGGCCGCCTGCGTGGAGGAGGGGGGGGGAGGCGGCGGCGCGGGCGGCGGCCTGGCGGTGCGTGTGGAGGAGGCGGCGGCAGCCTGGCCTGGCTTGCGCGAGGCGAGCGGCAAGGAGCCCGCTTGGGTGGTCGGTGCGCTCGTCACGCGCGGGCCCGTCTCGCAGTCCCGCGGCAGCCCGCTCACGCCCGACTCGTTCGAGGGGGTCGCGGGGGCGCTCATCGAACAGTTCGTCGGCGCGGGCTCGCACCACGGGCCTCCTCGCCGTGAGGACCGGCCCTTCACGGCGCCAGCTGTGAGCAGGCGTGGACATCGACGTGCAGACGAGAGAGAGGACTGCGGAGGCGGAGTGGGGCGGCGAGCGGTCCGGCAAGGCGTACGGCCGCGCGGGGGAGAGAGAAGCTCCAGCCGGAGCATGCTCGCAGCGCGGCCTCCTCCACTGGCGGCCGGGTCCGCTTTTGTAGGCGGGGCTGTACGACGGCCTCGCGCCCGGCGGCGCGGCCACCTCGCCCGCCCGTTCGGAGGAGCAGCTCGGGGCCGCCTGCGACGCGAGGCTCGCGCTGCGCAGCGAGGCGGAGGCGCGCGGCGGCGGAGGCGGCGGCGGCGGCCGCGGCGACGGCGGTGGCGGCGGTGGTGGTGGCGAGGGCGGCGCGCTGGGCCCGGCCGGCGGAGCGCTGCTGGAGCCTAGCGAGGAGTTCGATGTGCTGCTGCTTGAGTTTCAGCGGATGGCGGACGGGCTCGACGACGAGCAGTCTGCCGCCTCGCCCCGCGCACCACCACTGCCACGCGGCGCGGTGCGGAGGCTGGGCGCTGGCGGCAGCGGCTCGTGAAAGGCGCGGTCTAAAAAGAAAGAAAGAAAAGATCAAATCAAAGGACTGAAAGAGAAAGCGGATAGAAACAAGAACAACGCACTCTCTCTCACATGTGCTGCGCATGTGCATGCACATGTACATGACATGTAACATGTACATGTCATGTGACACATGACACATGACACATGACAAGCGATGGCTTGTATTGTGGGGACTACATGAACTCAAAGAAAGAAAACAGACCAAACATGGGAGGGATGGGAGGACGGCACGCCGCCACCACACAGGGATTTTAACGAGAGTCGATTTCGCTTGCTTTCTTTTTCTCAGGCTCGGCGTCCTCGTGTCGTCGCGAGACACTTCTCGGTCCCGGTCCAGCGTTCTCGGTCAGCGTTCTCGGTCAGCGCTTTCTGAACAGCGTTCCTCGGTCGGCGCAGTCAGCGTCGCGGTCCACCCGGCGTCGAAGTCGAAGTCGGGGTCGATTGATAATGACGTCGAAGGTCACGCTGTTCATCAACCAGCTGCCGTACTCTGCCACTCGAGAGGACGTGGCCGCTCACTTCGCACAGGCCGCCGGCACAACCGCAGCTGCGTTGCTGCCGTCGTGCCGGCTCGTGCTCAAGGACGGCGCCTTCAAAGGCACTGCATTCGTCGACGTCACGGACTTTGAGAGCTGCGACCGCGGCCTCGCCCTGCACCAGAGCCAGTTCAAGGCGTCTTCGGACGGGAGCAGTCGCCGCATCAACGTGCGCGAGGCGGTCTCCAAGACGCGGCTCGAGCAGATCGCGGAGCGCTCTAAGTTTTCCCGCAATCAGGTCCTTCGGAAGGCGTACACGGGCAAGACGAAGGCGGGTCCATTGCCCGCTCGTCCGAATGCCTCGGACAATGAGAGCGAGGAGGGGAGCGTCGACGAGGACGAGGGCGAGGAGGACGAGGACGAGGAGGGCGAGAGCGGGGACGCGCGTGCGATGCAGGGCCCGCTGGGCAAGGACCGCAAGGGAAAGGAGGTCGTGGGCGAGGTGGATCCTCAGCGCAAGCGAAAGGTGATCGAGGAGGCGTACCTGAAGCAGCGGCGCGAGCTCATGGACATGGCGGG